TCAAATTACAGACACTCCTGTATTAAACTTTATCTTGTGGCCTTTGTTGTAATAGAGGTACAAAAAAATCATCATCTCTCAAACTGCTGAGACTTGCACAACTGTCACTCAAGACTAAACACAGTTTCACAACACAGAGAGGAGCAACCAGCAGCAGGCATGTTGGTGATATTCATGGATACAAAGTTGACGTATGATCCCTGCTCAGATTAGCACTCTGATCTCACAGAAGTAAATGCAACACAGGATTTTGCTCGTGTGAGTCAGCAACAGAGAGTCAACAGTTCCTGTTTGAGCAACAACACAACTCTGAACTGTTCTTTTCAAAGAGGAAATTCAGTGGGAGGTGCAGCAGAGTGTAAAACAGCTATAAACCGCAAACTCTGCGTGACTTTCTCCATTTTATGTTCTGTGCTGTTTAATCAGGACAGCCCAAATATTTGATTTCTAATTCTTAATCACACAGTTAAAGACGTTTAATTTTATTCTTTAATCTGTGAGTCAGCAGATTCAAATCAACACATTTTTTTAATCTTTATCTCTTTTATTGAGAAAGCAGTTGAACATAACAGTAGTATGGCTTTTTACACTGTCTTTGCTCTCACATTTTTAACTTATAATTGAAAAGGAAAAAAAAGGACTTGGGTTAGGAGGCAGCAGGTACGTTTGCATAGTAGGCCTACTCAGGGTTTTAACGTCTTATACAAAATCACATCTCACAGGCCCATTTAGACCATAATCTGTAGAAGGTATCGCTCTGAAGTTTAAGAGAAAATGACACTTTTTCCATCGTATAGATCTCTTGTACAGAATGTATCCAGTCTTCCATCGTCGGTGGTTCAGGCCTAAGCCATCTCCTCGTAAGAGGCTTTTTACTTGCGGCCAGTAGGATATACAGTCTTTTATCATTGGAGTTCGAGTCTTCTGTCGTTGGAATTCAGTTTATCCACTGGTGCATTGCACAAAAATATGGTCTCAAAAGTTGAAGGAAAAACAAATGAAAAAACATTTTGTAAATGATCATGGATTAGAGACCAATACTGGCGAATAACTTTACAGTCCCAAAAGATGTGGAAATGGTTAGCTCCGTCTCCCCCACATCTCCAACATTTGTCGCCAGTTCCCCGATATTTTTGTTGATCATCAAATCAACACATTTTTATTGTAGTTATTTATATTGTATTGTGTTTATCCCCGAAATCAGCAAAGCTCCACTTTCTGCTTCCTTACACACAGGAAGTCTTTGAAAAACTGTGAACCAAATTTAAACAGACTCACTGAGTCACTGTTTAACAGTCAAACAGTCTCTGGTAATGAATCACACAGAGGCCACAAAATATCACATTCAGCTTCCACTCCTTCATGCAGCTTATGTCTCTCTAAGGAATTATCTTTTTAACTTCAGTTCAGATGCTTCATCTTCTGTGAATTCAGAATAAATTCGGAATAAAATAAAAAACAAATCAGGTTTAAACTAACAACAAAAAATAAACACTCATCTGATCATTGTTAACATACACAGTGAGCAGGTTAGTCAGGACTGTGTTCACTGATATGAAGCCTGGTTTATATTTCTGTCACATCTTAGACTGATATGTGTATTTATCCTCTAAAAAGGACATCTTTTTAGAGTATAAATGGACATATCCATCCATTCAATTCCGCTTATCAGGGTCGTGGGGGCGCTGGAGTCTATCCCAGCTGTCATAGGGCGAGAGGCAGGGTACACCCTGGACAGGTCGCAGGGCCAACACACAGGGACAGACAACCATTCACGCCAGAAGCCAGAGTACCCGGAGGGAACCCACGCAAACACGGGAGAGAACATGCAAACGCAGAAAGACCCTGACCTGATGGTGGCATTGAACTCAGGACCTTCTTGCTGTGCGGCAACAGTGCTTTTTTTTTTTCTCTTTTTTTAAAAAAAAAGCCAAAAGTCATTGTAAACCCTCATTATAAACACAGCCACCCACTGATCCAGTGTGGAAATCTCATCTTTGTGAGCCACGTGCTTGACTCATGTTGGGTGGATTATGTTTCCTTATTGTCTCAGTCTTATGAATTAAGTTTGTAATAAAAAACGAAATGTCATAAAAGTGGGAAAGAACAATCATCTCATTCTCATGTTCTTCATTGTGTCCCTGCAGGAGCATGCTCTGCTGCTTGGGCCTTATTTGGTGTTTTGCTTTCCCTGAATGTTGTTGGTGCTGCAGCATGGTGCTTTTATAAACATGGATGTTATATTAACTTGCATGTATCTAATATCTAGAATAATATGTAGTACTTCTCATTTTAAAGCTTATGTACCTCTAGAGACCTCTACAGGCTGCCATTAGGAATCAGGATGAAATCCTTGAACACATTGTCAGGCTCTACGCTGGTTCCGTTGATCCTGGTTTCCTCCTCTTGTACAATAATGCCTGACCTTAGTAGGCGAGAATATGCAGGCAGATGAAAGAATTGGTACTAATCACCCAAACCCCTTTGATTTTCAGGGTAGCGTTGAATTCAGCCCTCTGTAGGTAGATCATTTTCATTTCTATTAAACAATGTGGCATCCATTTGTTCCTTACACATTACCCAGTCCATATCAGTATAGATATGCAGATGATTTTTTTCCAGTATTATAAGGGGCCAAGTCACATTTTTGTTACATTCTGTAAAAAGGAAAGTGCACTAGTTACTTTGGTGCAATAGAAATACAAAACGTTCTCTCCACCTGTCCAGCACATTCTCCTCATTGTCTAGGTTACCAGACTGTAGGTAGCTCAGAGGCTGTAGTTGCTATTCTTAGTAGGGGAGACTGTCATGTGTGGTACCCTCAGTGGTCTTGAAGAAGCGGTCTTTGGTCCAACAAGAATGCAATTGTGTTAGTCTACCCCAATTGAACCGCATCCTACATGGCGTTTCCTGGCTTTATAAAAGTGAATCCCTGGTCTGTCAGGTTGTCACTATTTTTTGCTCATTTGATGTCAGAGATACTGAAAATTTTTAAACAGGAAGTGAAACTGATTGTTAAAATAACAGAAGTCTCACCCTCAACGTCGCAAAGACAAAGGAGTTGATAGTGGACTTCCGGAGGTGCAGAGAAGTACACACCCCCATCACCATCAACGGCGCTGCTGTGGAGAGAGTGAGCAGCTTCCGGTTCCTTGGTGTACATCTGGCTGAGGATCTTACGTGGTCAGTACACACAAACAAAACAGTGAAGAAGGCGCAGCAGCGCCTCTTCTTTCTCAGGAGACTGATTACGTTATTGTATTCTGCACAACTCTGTTGCTTGTGAAGCTCGCACACAAGAATTTCACTCACATGTACTGTACCAATGTACCTGCACATGTGATGTGACAATAAAAGTGATTTGATTTGATTTGATTTGAGAAGTCTAATGTGTAATTTGAACAAAATAATTGTAAAACTCTGGTGAACGTAGTTAAATCGTGTATGATCTGGATGAAATTCAACAACTTAACAGTTGTGAAAATTATTATTGTTGAGGTGACGTGATACAATATAGTAAGAGTGGTTAGTTGCCCTTCACATATCACAAGATCACATGAAATTTGAAACCACAGGTAAATCATGTCAGTTACAAGAGGCAAATTTAGCTGCTGTTGCCGTTAAAAGTACCTAAGTGAAATAAAGTGAAATAAATATTATGATTTCAGCTGTGACACTGCCTCACAACCCTGTTTGGGCCCACACACCACAGAGCTTCTTCCAGCTCCTCCCTCACATACAGTGTTTTCACAAATTGCAAATCAATTTTCTTTTCATTTGGTCCATTTGTGCTCATTGAACCTTTAGTTCTGCAGCACATTTTGCATGTTAGGTTTCACAGCCAATTGCTGCTCTCTAACTGGTCCACACAGCAGCTCAGACCTGAGCTCATTCACTGTGAAACACACTGGTTTATACTCTGTATGTTCTCCTCATGAAGTTACCCTCACACAACCAGATGTGGTTGTGATCCTGGCTAAGTGGCAGAAAGAAATTGTTCAAAAAATTGCCTTTAAATTCTACTTGAAGGAATTTGAAATCATTTCTAACTCGTCGTGTTGGGGGAAAAAAAGCTGACACACGGTCAAACAACTGTGGCCCGAATGCCTGCCTTATATAGGAAACCTATGCCCCCTGGTGGATAGGGATAGTACTGCATCACACACCTGCTACACAACAGTATACACATCAATACGGGCAACAGATATTTTTCATGTTAAGCAGCTGCACGTGTGAATCTAAGTTCCTGTAAAGTTTGATGTGTTCTTAAGTCGTAACCATCTGTGACATGATTCAGTGTGAGAGTCTGGAGCTGATTCAATAAGATCAGATCATCAGAGCCAAGAGTTACAACTAAAGTGCCCAGCAGCAAGTTTCCATGAAGTAAGACTCAGACACAGTGCTGAGATGAAACTGAGCTCTGGTGCTGCCCTCTATTGGCACTGAAGTGAACTCCACTTCTCAGCAGAACCAGACTTTCCCTGATGGGAAACACATAGAACCATAGAAAAGGAATTAGTTCCAAATCTACAGGATGTTAACTCAAGGAGAAATTTCTCCTTGAGTTAAAACGGGATATAAAGTGTATATAAAAGCCGCTGTAGAGCCGCTGGATGAGCACGTGAACCATTTTGCGTTTATACTCTCCTCATAGTGTCCATGATTTGTCACTTTAAACAACAAAGTGTTTCTCACCATGTTGCTGTTTACCTCATACTGATTTACTTTGACTGTAACCCTCTGAATACTCCACCTTCACCACATCCAGTGGACCTGTCACTGACAGGAGGTGGAGGACAGGCAGAGATGGTGTAAAAGCCGACCTGGGAGCCATTTAGGGCAAAGCATGCAAAAGGCATGTTTTTGTCACATTAGTGGAAAGAAAACATCCAAATCAGTGATGTGTGAAACATCTGAATGATGTTTCAGTGTTTCCATGTCTGCACATCAGAGCAAGACTTACATCACATCAGTTAAATCCTTTGTTCTTTCTCTGTGGTCATAAACAACCAGGTTAACAAATTAAAACATAAACATGTTTTACAACATTTATAGCAGCTGTTGTGTTTATGAACTCTGTCACAGTTTATGGGAGTCATTATGTATTCTTAATATTTATTGGTAAAATAATATTTGTAGTAAAATTGTCTGAAAACTGCAAGAAAAACAAAAAAGAAACAAGCAAAACATGGATCACTTTGATTCCAGCTTCAGTTTTATTCAGGAAACAACAACAGTCATATCAAAAGGCACTTTATCTTTACAGTAGAAACATTAGAACCACAAACCCCCTGAAACAGGAGCATAACAATTGTATGAATCGAAGTCAATTACATTTCATTTTTACAATATAATAAAAAATCCTACTCATCATCACCAATGAAGTCTGCAGTCAAAATAAATATATTAAATACAGTGTGCTCCAATACAGTTAAATGCATGCAGTGCTTAAAGCTATATATAATAAATGTCAGACGCTTTTGTAATATAAATATGTTTTATCTGTATAAAGTGAAGCAGCAGGTAGTTTGATATAACAAGCAAAAGTAACAACTTTCTCTTTTCAAATAAATATAAAGGCTTACAGTTCAGATTGTTGAGCAGTCAGTGAGGAGCTAAAGACACAACTTGTTCTTTGGACCATTTTTATACAACTTAAATAATAATAATAATAATAATAATGTTTAAACATAAAACCTGAAAATATCTGCTGGACTGTTTATCGATGCGTCGCACCAAATAAATAAATAAATAAATAAATAAATAAAACTTGAAGAAATTTGTGAAGGCACATGTGACATTTCAGTCTGCTCCTGTCTCACTTCCTTGAAAACCACTAAATATTTTCTTTAAGCACAAAAAATATACATATTTGTGATAAATATTTAGTCAAAGTTTACAAAGATGCTTAATACAAAATGTTAGATGTTATAAAATGTAATTTCAGGATATTCTAAACTGTACCATGAATGCTCAGTGTTGCTCTCACAACCAAAAACCTGACACCAACGTCGGTTTTGAATAAGTTTCATTTTTGTTTAATTAAATTTATGCATTTGTTCATTGCTAAGTTGTAAGTCTACACCAGCCAAAATACTTTCTTTGGTTATTAACATTTGAAAATGATGAAGACACTTGAAAAGTAACACAAAATTAGCTGCCTTTCCAGAAAAACACAAAAACGTTCTTAAAGTTTGCATAAAACCTTACAGCTTACTCTTTCGCTCCCAGGCTTCTAGACTTCTGATTGGCCAACATTTCTACATGGCTAGGATGTGGCATGTTCTTGACAGCGTTTGACTTTGTTTTTGGCGTTCGCATGTGAACGGAGACCTTTTTAAAAAACGCATGTGTGGACGGGATTTAAAAAAAGAAAAAAAGAAAAATTTGAGTTTTCAAAAATACCCGTGTACGTGTGGACGTAGACTCAGATCATCTGGAAAAAAAACAGAAACATTACAAACATGCTGCTGTTCAGCTGGAGGCTGGAAAGAACCCTGCTTCTGTTGTTTACATTTTCTGTAGATCACGACACCAACAAAAGTAACAACAACAACAACAGCAGCAACTGGAAGACCAACTTTTAGTCCAACAGATCCAGCCTCCTTCCCTCTCCTCCTTCCCTCCATCCTCTGTGTCTCCTCCTGTCTGACCTGCAGGTGAGAAACAGGTGTGAGGTGTCAGCTGTCAGGTAGGTGATGAGTGAAGAACAGAACAGAATCCATTTCCTCTTCAAACTGCTGTCAGACATTATCTACTGCACTCTGATCACATCACTCAGACCAGCTGCTTTCTACAAAGTCTCATCAACAACATCTTTAGAAACAAACATCAACAACCAGGAAGCAGCTTCACCTCTGATCACACACACACTCAACTCTGCTCACTCACCTGGAGGATCAACAACACTAAGTGTGATGTTGCAGAGAAGCCCCATTGATTCTCCTGATTTCTGGGCAACACGACACTCGTATGTTCCAGCGTCATTAACCGTCACATCCTTCAGAATCAAAGACACGTCTCCAGCCTTCATCTCTCTGTCCTGCAGATCCACCCGGTTCTTAAAAGTTGGATGCTGCTCCTCTGGATCAGACTGCTCATCCCGATATGAAATTACATATTCTCCCAGATCAGCTCTTTTCCACTCCACAACTGGGATGGTGTTGTTTGAAGCTTGACATGTCAGAGTGACGTTCTGCCCAGACTGAGCTGAGATGGTTTCCTGGTCTGAAAGATTAAAAAACACAGAGCAGAGAGGAAGCAGTAACTTCTACAGCAGCCAATCAGAGTGAGAAATAGAGATAACTGGTCTCTGGTATATGCTGGTTGAATCACACAAAGGTGGCAATAGACTAGTTTAACACTGTTAAAGCACCACAGAATCCCACTGAACCCCATACTAATGAATAGCCTGCACAGGCTGCCTGTGGACCTGAGTTCACACAGTGTGCAGGACAGGGACAAAAACCTGCACTGTCCTTGTGTGGTAAACTTTACAGAAACCATCGTTGTCATGCGACTTTTCCAGTGAGGTCACACGTTGTATGTGGTCAAGATAACCCGTGCTGGGGGCGGGTTTAAGACCGACAATCTCCTCTGATTTATTCATAAATTCCTTCTGAGTGTTTAACGCAGCGTGAGCGCGCTCGCCGGCTGCTTTTGTTTTGTCTTGCCGGGGCGTCCGCGTGCACGCCTCCGTTCCAAAGGCGGGGCTGTAGCTTCTGCTGTGGGAGCCTGCGTGGCGTCGCTTCGTTTGGGTTATTAACGTTATCGTTCGTGGACGGTAGAAAACAGCTTTGCTAGAAGCTTAAACAAGGAGTACCCGAAGACAACGCGGGCTTAACTTTGGAAAATGCGTTATTTTTTAACTCATGACTGAGCGTCGTTGAGAAAAAGGAGTCTGTCAGCAGCAGCTTTCAACGTCTTAATGTTTGCTGCCCAGTGGGATCCGGCACAAAGTAGCAGGTTTTTCTGTTTAGAGCCTCTGCATGTCGTGGTAAGTACAACGGGCGGGCTACAAAAGGCTATAAAATGGCTGCTCTAGGCTCTAGTGGGTGTCGTTCCCACACCTTTGTGCGCGTCCCGGTGTAGGGCAGGCTGTACGGTTTCCTTTTTTTTTTTTTAACTGCGGGCTACTCTACTGACCGTGACAGGAGAGGTCTACACCGAGGGATTCGGTGCAAGAGGTGCAGTTCATTCAACGTGATAGTATGTGAGGGTTTAATTTAATTTCAAAAAAACAAAATCACAATCTTGTGCGCGTGTATCTACAAGTAACGGCAGTTCAACACAAGAGCAGCGGAATAGTTGGCTCTCACCTGCAAACACGAAGTGAAGAATCAAGAAACAGAGACGTGACGTCCATTCTAGACGCATATTGTGAGCTCACCGGCTCCTGCCGCTACTAGTGGTGTTCGGGTCGATCCAGATATCGATATTATGGGCACCAACGTTTGTATCGATATCGATCAATACGAGTTTAATGAGATCGACACTGTTGCTACTGCTAATGCTACTGCTCTCCTGTATGCACTGCTGCGGTTTCATGGAAGGATACTGTAAGTGCCGCTGCTTGTGCACATGCGCTACTTCGTCACGTGACTAACAAGCCAGGCCCACAGTATGGCAGAGAATATTCTGCTATTATTACGACAGTTATCTTCAGAAATGACTTAAAATTGTCAAAGTGCAACTGGCTGATTCTTACTTTAGCCAACTTAAAAAATATAAATTATGCTAAAACCTTGATATAACACATTTATCTCAGGGAAACATGTTATTTAAATGAAAACATTTACTGGAACTGAAACAAATATACTGAATATACCATGGTTCAGATTCGATTGAATATAAATACCCCTTGTGTTATTTTCGCTGTAGAGTGCGCAAAAGGGTGTACCTATTGCACTGTGAGCTGTGCATTAGATGGACCCTAACCCATAGAGGATGGCACTGGCCCACCTCTTGCACTGTGGTAGCTGAGATAGATATCCTACCATCCTACTATTGGATATAGATATTGCTGGATATATATAGCTGCAGTTATAATTGTACAATTTGTCAGCAAAATGATAAGTAACATCAGCTTTAAATAAATAAATGGTATGGTGATCTCTCTTTGCAGGCAAAATTTAAGCTGCCACCACGTTTTGTGAAATTGGGAGGACTCGAGACCTCTCCCTCCAGTCCATTTAGGATTGGTCTGTAATCATACAGGCACAAACAGTTCTGTCAGACCAGTCACATCTCCTTCATCCTGAAACGAGCTCTTTCCTTCTGACAGAAACAGATTCCCAAAATGCATCTGAATGCTTTAAAAATGTATTTTTTCCAACAGAAATCAAGCTTTTAAATAATAGTTATTTGTAATATGAGTATATACTAACTAGTATGTTTGTAATTATAGATAAACAATTTTATTTTTTTTAAAAGCATGTATTTATTTCTTTAATGTTTATTGACTCTGTGACGGCAGCATTTGTGGCAGTACTTGAGTCCACAACAAATTTCCCTAAGGTGACAAAAAATCCATCATATCATATTGTTACTGTGCTTATTTATGAGATGCCACAATTACAACTTATTTACTTTATAACCACAATAATTTAGTCAGTTTTAATTGGATACACACAGTGTTCATAGTGTAGTGTTCAAAGGAAATCTTACTTATACTTATTTTTTAAGCCATAAGGAGGTTTGCTAAACTCAAAATCTTCTCTAAACTGCACTCTGACAACAGTCCATAAATGATCCCATTGTAGTTCTGTGCACATAATAAATATAAATGGGTTATTTGCACTGATGTCCTATATACACTATATGTCCTAGTTCCACCTTTGTGTTTCTGTCTTCTGATGTTGGACTGTGTTTTCTGTTAAGCGGTGATATATATTGTCATATCGCACAGCCCTACTCCCCAATCTAAAATTGGTTAGTTGTCTCGGAGCACGAATACACAATAAGGATACCAAAATGTCACAGTTTCCTGTATATACTGCTGTTTATATAGCATTTTTCTGTAGAGCACTCAAAGTGCTTTATACTACATGCCACCTTCACTACATACACATTCATACAAGCACTTTCTCTACATCTAAGTGCTTTCCTTCTATAGTTCACACTCTGCCACAAGCGATTATTTTAATAATCAACTAGTCACCGTTTATTTTTGCGATTAGTCGACTAATCAGATCATCATCCATTGGACATAAAACGTACAGCTTACTGCACCAGCATCTGCTCTTATATAACTATCATTAGCTTACAGCTTAAAGTGTTTAAGGTATGTGCTAACTAAAAATAAAGACAAGATGATAGTTTATTAAACTCAATGAAATTGTTTCGGTGGAGTTTAATAAACTCACCTTTCTGCTCCTTGCTATCTAAAATATAACAGGACACCGGAGAATATTCTGGAGCATCTCACACTTCTGTTTAATCACTATAACTTTAATCTCAGCCAAACCGATTTACTCAGGAACAAATGAAACTCTGAAAAAAGCCAAACAATAACATTTTTAAGTTATGTAAGTGACTTATATATCATGTTTAACCTGAGCTGCGCTAATAATTCTTGGATAGGTGTTGGGCCACAAAGAATACACCCGTCCCATCCTTCAAATCTGGGGAAATGAAGGACGCAATTATTTTTAGCCGCATTTAGGGAAGTCTTCGAATTTGGACAGCCTTTGTTTCATTCCTGTCACGTAGTCGGCCTACAAATGACACTACCCGATCTGTGCCACGTATGTGCGAAAGGCGACCACAAAATACTTTCTAAAAAAAACTTTGAGTTTATTTTCGAGCGAGAGGTGTGTAAGCTTGAATATCTGCTTGATTTATCAAGATCTCATATATTTCCAAATGTGCTGAAAAATCTGAAAAAACAAAATCTGACATTTTCGGAGATGTCTGTTACCCACCAGCTTGATAGCAGACCGAGATGTCAAGGATCACTAGAGCCGGCGAGAACAGTGGACTCCTGGCACATCGTTTTCAAACCCGCCACGGTCTTTTGCTACTCAGGTTAAACATGATATATCTCTTATCGTGTTTATCATATATCTCCAAGTCTCTTAGGTAACTTCAAAATTTTAACATTCGTTTTTTTCCAGTGTTTTATTTGTTCCTGAGTAATTTGGTTTGGCGGAGATATATTTCAATTCAGGAGGAAACATTTTCACCAGGAACAAAACCAGCATGTTAATACATGGGGATTCTGAAGGATGCTTCAAAATAATCAGATTATATTAGATGTTTATCTGACATTAGAATATCAGATAAACATTTGTTCAGCTCTCGTCCAAACCCCAGCAGCTGTCTATTGTATTGAGTGTCCACTAAAATAAAAATAAAAGCGTTCTAACATCTCACCTGTTTGTTTTTATCAAGACATACATGTACATTTTTTTTTTTTTTTATTAATAGAGAGATTTCGCTACTAGGGTTAAACAGGATATATAAGTCACTTCTAAATGTTAATGTTTGGTTTTTGTCAGTGTTTTCTTAGTTCTTGAGTAAATCGGTTTGGCTGAGATTAAAGTTAAGCTTCATAATATATTATTCACAGTTAAATTGAGAGGGGACGGCAGTAAAAACTCTGGACCTGTGACATCATCAACTGTTGTTCCAGTCGTACAAATCGCGAGTCCGTGCTCGTGTTCTCGTCAAGTCCGGACTCGCCGAGAACGCAAGTCCTTGCCGTGTGTACTTGAGAATTGAGAAAGGGCCAGTAGTTACGGACCGGGACCTGATCTGTACCGTGCATGTGCAGATGTTCTCTCCTTCTGTTCGTTTAATGGCAGTTTACTCCCCAGTGTACGAGGATACCGCCACTTGCTGACTGAGCGAATGAACCCTATTGTAAACTGAACTAGAGTTCAGTGTTTCTGTATCTGTGTTAAATTTCATTTAGTGATAGTTGAGTGTGTTTATGCTTGTCTGTGTGTGGAGAGGATTGTTTGGAATAGTGATGATGATGTCAGCTATCACTGTCAATTGTCAGTAAACTCTTTATCTTAAATGTCCCGGGCAGTCGAAAAAGAGGCAGAGTTGTCGAGAAATGCGAGGAGCTAACTGGGCTTTAACCGTGTCATTCAAATATATTAACTGTTGCAATGTTGGCAAAGAGAGGAAGTGACGCGCAAGATTTGCGCATGCGTGGTACCGGTCAGGTTTCCAGTACAGATCATAGCAACAGTGATGCGGCCCCTGAATTTGGACACAGCTATGATACCGGAGACTAGAGCTGCACGATTTTGCATAAAATGAGAATCACGATTTTTTTGGCTTAGAATTGAGATCACGATTCTCTCACGGTTTTCTTTTCCAGTATAAATATTTATTGCACTTATTAACTGCACATCAACTTCGTAACAGTTGAGACTGAACATAAAAACAATAGATAAACATTAAAACAACAAATGTTTGTTGTTTGTCACATTTTGTCGTCACCGCAAAATGTTGTACTGCTTGAAATTCCGTTGCTCGACACTGCGTGTATAGAGCAGGTAGTGCAACAATAGAAAAGTAGTTGCGGGACGGCACTGTGTAGCGTTTGTCTAGGGTGTTGATCATTTTCCTAAATCCCTCGTTTTGCACAGTGTTGATGGGAGCCATATCTTTGGTCAGGTGATAAGTGATAGCCTCCGTAATTTCTTTGTGCCTGCGGGAGTTCAACGGATATGGGGAGGCGCTGTATAAGATTCCAGTTATTGAGGTTTGGGTGGTTGACCGGGACGGATTTTCTCCTGTCACTTTCTCGTCATCTCTCTCGTGCTCTTGTTTTTTCCCTGCCAATTTTAGCAGCCAGCTGGCTTCTGTATCACGTGGTATAAGGCTCCGCCCTTGTCATTTGTTGAGCAGGAAGAGTGAGCGCTTGTTTTCATGCAGATTACGACCCGGATCCAAATACGGTACAATCAGCTGAAAGGAAGAAAAATAGGGTCAAAATTCTTACTTGTGAGATGAAACTTGAGTAAAGAGTTTCACACTTATTTTTTTGCTACGTGCACACACAAATCTTTTTTTTACGCACACACAAATTCTTTTTACACATACAAAACTGATTTAGAAGTACAAAAACAGTTATGACCACAATTTGAGCCCATAGTGATCTGACATACCAGCAGAAAATATATCAAAAGTTCATTAAGTTAAATGATAAAACACTGAAAGTTACATTATTGTAACTGTGATGCATTCACTGACATATAAAGAGAACAGAGAGGCTCTGCTTTGTGCTTATATTCTCCTCCTGTGTGTTTTTGTGTGCAGAGTTTCTACCAGAGCCAAATGTCATCTGCTCCTCACTGAAGTCGTCACCACTGGAATCCAGCTGCTGCTCTCTAACTGGTCCACACAGCAGCTCAGACCTGACACATCCACTGTAAACACACTGGTTTATATTCTGTTTGTTCTCCTCATGAAGGAAACCTCACACAACCTCTGAGGGCAGAAAGTTCAAATGGAGAGTTTTTGTTATTGTTTTCTTTTATAAAGAAGCTGGAAAATTTACTTAAACTTTTTATATTAAAAAGATAACATTTTCTTCACCAAACCTTTCCGAATAGAAGTGTGACCAAGACATCATTTACACATAAACAATAATAAATGGTATGTAACTAAAATGTAGATGTAATCCATGTTTTCATGTCTTCAGTAGCTTTGCTGTTATTTATGTTATTTCTAAGTGTGCTGTCGTCTCCACAGCAGTGATCTGGTTTCTCTGCAGGTTCAATAAACTTTGGTCTCACTTGATCTTCTCGTGTGCTTCTGTGGGTTTCACAAAGATGTCTGATGGAAAACGTGAGTTGCTGTAGTGAACCCAAACACACTTCAGTCACCTTCAGAGCAGATAACAAAGTTCATGTGAGCCACAGACTTAAAGCAGCAGGAACACTTTCACACATGAGTCTTAGTTACTGTGAAGTTTCATGTCTGTTGACAATAGACCTGAGAGTCGTCTGCTTATCAGACATTACACATTTGATTTTAACAGATTTGATGGACAAAATCAATCTCAGGCACAGCTGGACTCAGCTTCTTCTGTATCTACACGATGGATCGTAGTTCATTATAAAACATGATTTTTAACCTTATTTTATAACTAAAATGTTCAACAGCAAATTTCAATGAAGGAAGAAATAACACGGGGCAACTCTATAAGGAGACTCAGAATAGATCGTAACAAAGTCAAACTCTTTTTTAAATAGATACATTAAAATTTAAGGATATGAAGGAAACTCCATTAATAAACTCCCTGTATATACAGTGTGTTGGAGTTTCTTCTAACCATATGATGAAACTGTCTTCAAAAGAAAGCTCAGTGAATGCATCACAGACACATCTGATTGTGTTAAAGCGCCCTCTGGTGGAAGGCTGTTTGACACGGGACCTTAAACATTCGTTTGGAGACCTTGGTAACAGACTCAACAGTTCTTCTGTCTGTAATATGTGGATCACTCAGTGTTTGTCTTCACTTACCCGCAGGTTTTAATTCAGGTGGCCATACAAAAAACAAACAAACAAACAAAGCAAACAAAAACAAAACATTTGAGGGCTCTGAGGAGCTTTTACAAACCTCCATGTACTTAAATTCATGAGACTATAATCAGTGTATTTATTGATATTGTTTATGTCTGCAGGTGTTCTGTCAGCAGTGGAGAGATTGTTTTCACTGAGGTGACCGCTGCTTCCAGAAACATTACAGCATGATGAATAAGAGGTGTTACTCACTTTCTCATTAAATCTGCTTAATAATAATTTTAAATAAGTATCACCTGCACTATCATCTGATATTTATTTTAAGTGATGATTTTTTTTATAAGAAGCTGATTTAATGAGAAAGTGAGTTTTTTTTGGCTGCTGTTCCAACATTAAACCATGCTCCAGTGGTGCCATCTACTGACTTTAACCTGCAACAACAGGCTGTCAAACTGATTCTGCAGCACTCAAAATTTTAAAAATCCACTTTGTGAATGAGCAGCAGCTGTTTTGTTTCTGATATGGAGCAAACGTCACACTAACATATATAAACTATGGGTCGCCTGCTCAACCCCTAGAATATATGGCCATATTGTTGATTTAGTTATGGTGTTATACACACACTTTATTAGGAACACCTGTGTAGTGTCAAGTTAAACTCCCCTTTTGCCTTTGGAACTGCTTCACTTCTAATACTAATAAAAATACTACTACTAATAATAATACATTTTATTTTAGGGTACCTTTCTAAAACCCAAGGTCACCTTAAAAAGAGACAAAGATGTCAATAAAACGGTAGATTAAAATAGATTCTAATAAATTAAAATACAAAAAAACAACAAATAAAAACAAAACACACAAAAAAATAAACAAGATTTGATATCAAGTAAAATCAGTATTAAAGTGAGGAAGCCAGTTTAAACAAGTAGGTTTTGAGTTGTGACTTAAAAAAGGGAAGGGACTGAAGGAATTGAGTTTCAGAGCCGAGGAGCAGAGCGACTGAAAGCTCTGTGCCCCACAGTGATAAGGGGAGCAGAAGGAGCAACAAGATGAGTGGCAGATTAAGATCTGAGAGAGCGGAAAACAGTGGTGATATGAAGCGGATCACAGAGATAAAGGAGGGGCAAGGTGAATACACTTCTTCGTGTCATAGATTTTTAAAAAAAGTGCTGGAAACATTTCTCAGATATTTTGGGCCAAACTGACATGATACCCAAAGTTACTGAAGATTTCCAGAACATCCTAAAGGTTTGTGTTTTATGTGGTGACTGCAGAGGCTGTCTGATCACAGTGAACTGATCGTGTTAAAGAAAAAGTTTAAAATAAGTGGTGTGTTATCCTGCTGGAGGCAGCCATCGGCAGATGTGGTCTGAAAGAGACGGACATGGTCAGCAAGAACACTCAGGTAGGCTGTGATGCTCAGCTGGTACTAAGGCAGGCTGGATCCATTTTCTTGTTGTTCACACGAAATTCTGATTCTACAGTCTGAAAAAACAAATATTTGGTTGGTTCCTATCTTGAAATATGAACCATGTGTGTTCACAGCGAGGTAACATCCAGTCAAAGACACCGCCTGTTGACGCTCGGCTCTTTTATTTTTCTAAAAGAGGAAACAACTCAGAGCAGCGAGGTTAAAGAGGTCAAAGGTAAACGGTTCACTACTACAGCAGCCAATCAGAGTGAGGAGCTGCAAGAGGAGATCATACAGGTCTCTGAATCCCTCCATTCAAACACAGAATATAAACAATACGCTGTGAAGCAGATCCTGACAGTCTGCAGTGAACACAAGTGTAAAACTCATTTCAGTGCAAATTAAACATCTTCCTGTTACCTCGACATTCGACAGAGTCACAAATAAACTAAGATAACATTTTAAAGGATAAAAGACAAACAGGAAACCATCAGCTTATTGCAGGCACAGCTTTTGGTTATTTATTGAAAGAAGTCACAAAATCATTTGGTCATATTTAAAACAGTTTCATATTTTTTAAGTCAATAAGTTGTGTTGTGATTGTTAACATAAAAACCTGCTCTGCAGAGTTTCAGTGAAGCTGTTTGTTCCTGGTTCCTCAGTCAGCATGACGCCTGTGTGTGGTTACGCCCTCTGAGCACTCCTACACTCCACTGGTTCAGTGAACACAGTGTGAGTCATGACTTTGATCTTGTTAGTGAAACTGAAAGTGAGTTGATACAAATATTCCTCTGGGCTGCTCACCAATAGCTGTGTGTGTCAATACATACCAGAGAGCTTTAAAACAAAGTTAAACATATTTAAAACCCTCTCAGATTTCTTCATGACTTAATTTAAATGTTTTTGCATTTGTTGTCAGCTTCATTTCTGCTGCCGGGTTGTTCAATAAATATACAAATATGGAAGAAAGATGACATGATTTTAATGTCAGCTCTGAGATTTAGACTTTAAACTGATCTTGCTACAGGCTGTTCAGTGACTTTGGGTCTAACCCTGAAGAATCTGTAGACATGGATGACAGGTACTCTCAGGTATTCTCTGCAGCACAAACAACATGCAAAGTGACACGCAGCTTGTGCTGCTGAAACTTTAGCCCTTGGCTTTTTTGCTGGTGTCAGTAACGTGAAACTCAACAGATGCACATGAAACCTGATTCTTTAAGCAGAGAATATATCTCTCTATTATACATCTCCATGAAGTCTTCATTGGTTGTTTTTATTTCTTACATTTAATTTGGTGTGTTTTTAAACAGAAGGTCACTGACTCATTTCCTTTAAATCCTCCACCCACGGGTTTACAGTAAGTATCATTTACCAGGAAGTCTCTTTCTGTTTCACTCTGGACTCTGCTGCTCTGTGGTATTCATGCTCCTGTTAAACATGGGATATTTTAAAATCCTTCTGTTTTGTTTTCTAATTTCTGCATTAACAGGTGAGTAATGTGTTTATATTTTTACTTCTACAAGTTCTCTATCTATCTATCTATCTATCTATCTATCTATCTATCTATCTATCTATCTATCTATCTATCTATCTATCTATCTATCTATCTATCTATCTATCTATCTATCTATCTATCTATCTATCTATCTATCTATCTATCTATCTATATATTAATGTCTTTTTAAATTACCTATTTAACTAGTTTAATGTGTATGTATCTATGTATGTATGTATGTATGTATGTATGTATGTATGTATGTATGTATGTATCTATCTATCTATCTATCTATCTATCTATCTATCTATCTATCTATCTATCTATCTATCTATCTATCTATCTATCTATCTATCTATCTATCTATCTATCTATCTATCTATCTATCTATCTATCTATCTATCTATCTATCTATCTATCTATCTCTGGCAAGCCTGGGAGCTTGAGAGTTCTGCGCAGTATCTTAGCTGTTCCTAGGACTGCGCTCTTCTGGACAGAGATCTCCGATGTTCTTCTGGGAACTGCTGGAGCCACTCGCCTAGCTTGGGTAGCTCCGATTACCACGGGGACCACTGTTACCTTCACCCTCCACATCCTCTCGAGCTCTTCTCTGAGTCCTCGGTATTTCATGAGCTTCTTGTGTTCCTTCTTCCTGATGTTGCTGTCATTGGGAACCGCTACATCGATCACTATGGCCGAAGTCCCACAGGATCTTAGCTCGGTCATTCTCCACCACCCTAGCGTCTCCCATTTTGACCTCGGGACTTCCAGGCTGTATTCAGCACAGATGTTTCTGTATACTGTGCTGGACACTTGGTTATGTGGTTCCATGTATGTTCCATGTGGCCTTCTTGTAATTAATCCACAAAGTGCACACGTTGGTCAGCCTGGTTTTACAGTCTCGGGCAATGGCTCGGTCTACCAATAGCTGGTGTATGTGCCTCTGGTATTCTTGCCAATCCTGATGCTGTCCAGCTCTTCATAGTGGCGACGCTTTCTTGGATGTCTGCCACTGTGATGGTTACTGGTCCCTGTTTAGGGAGCTTGCTGTGGTCTGCCCTCAGATCCACTAGCCACTGAGCATTGCCGTTATGGGTTGCATCCTTCTCCCACATGTTCTTCCAGTATTGCTCTATCTCCAGCCTTGGTGGTGCTGTTCCCCTGCCACTGAGAGTCCACCTTGGCTGGTTCTGTGGAGAACAGCTGGTTTATTCTCCTGAGTTGTTGCTTAGCAGTTTCCAAGGCCTCAGGTATGGACAGCTTCCTGTACTTCTTAGGCACCTTCTTCATCGCACCTTTCTGCAGCTCCAATGGTTGGCTAACCTCCCTTCATGCTACCTTGACCTTGGCCTCTAGTCTCTAGTCT